CTCAGCAACACCAAAAGACCCGGAAGACCACGAAAACAACTGTGGTGGATGCTGACACCTTATGTGTTCCCTTCACTGGAACTAAGGGGCTGAGACCAACCCCTAAAAAATAATCCCACACCATAATCCCCTTTTAAGCTCCTGAGAACAATCCATTCTTTCCCAAATGTTTGTAAAAGCAGTCTGCATGCCTAGGTGATTTGATACACCTGTGAGGTGATTGGAACACCTGCATCCAATGATTTGGAGATCTGGCCCAAGACTTTTGGCAATATAGTATATATATATATATATATATATGCAACTATATAAATAAATGAGCTGTGGATGATAATATGCCTTTTATTTTGCAGATTTCTGTTCTCAGGATGAAGATATCCCACGGGACATGAAAAATTATTTCCACGGTTTGAATGTAACAACTTTTGTACTATGCATCACAGACTGCAGCAAAAATTACGAGTTGCCAATCAATTGTAACTGGGGGCATTGTGCCGTTAGTTCTTCAGGACCTGACTGCTAGTAAGGCTTTAACTGATTATTCCATATACACATCAATCACCAAGGATGTGGCTATAACCATAGTGCTCCAGTTTTATGTACATGTTCTGTTGTTCTCTCTCAGTTCAACTATCTTTGACATTACAGTGTGCCCTGTCTTCTCTTAGAAAGCAACAGCCATGGGGGTTCAGATATCTAATATAAGAACCTTTGTGGCTAAAAAGACACCCAGTAGCATGTGAAAACCCATTAAAGTGAAGGTGAAAAATTTTTTTTTTCTTGCACACAATATGCATTGCAAGGATTTTAGAAAACTTTTGGCAGAGTTTGTACCCGTCTCTGGAGAAAGTGCTGAATCTTTCAGCATCTCCTTTTACAGATTGATTTTTATAATTGGAGGGTCTGGCTTCATTATAATCATCCGGGCAATCTCAGGGTTTGGATGGAAAAGCAACATTGTCTTTAAATTCTTTTAGATGTGGATGAGCCTCACTAAATATGAAGCGCCTGATGCAAGGGGAGCCTGCCATTGGACCCAGAACCATAGAAGAGTGACGGCAGAAAAAAGACCAAGTTTGCCATATATATGTAGCGCCCCTTAAGTTTAGCTAGAGCTATTTAGTTTTTTTTTAGGCAGAGGCTGAGTAGCAGCCTAGGATGAGTAAGCCAAGTTACTCTAGGTCAGGGCTGAGGGCTCTGCAGGTCAGTTCCCTGATACCTCCACCTGATCTAAAAGCTTGAGAAGTTTCTGGAAGGCAGTGGGTGGGGGTGATGAGGGGCTGATCTGCATGCTCAAGCAGGAGGCTTGACATGGGGTCAGTAAGTGGGGTCCTAAGTATGAGGGAACCTGATCAGCAGGAGGAGTAGTGTTGGGTGGAAGAAGGAGTGAAGTTTGGAGTGTGGAGCCTGGGAAGGGGCCCAGGAGAGGAGCCTACCTACAGACAGATCTCTCTTCCTCTACGTCCCCTGAGAGAGGACAACCTGTGGAGCAGGGAAGGCAGCCAGCCCAGTGTAGAGACTGAAGGCAGCCACCAACCCTCTAAGCTTGCAGGAGAGACAGAGTGAGTAATTCTACACCCCCTGGGCCGGATAAGGGAAGAGGGCAGTCAGGTGGAGAACCCAACTAGCTTCTCATCTGGGGCTGCTTCTGGGTCCCCTAGCCGAGGGATACCCTCAGGCAGCTGGGTGATGAGGAGGATTCATCTGGGGTCTGAGGTGGTACACCAGAAGGGCTGGAGAGCTCTTCAAAGGAGAGACTTTTTTTATCCACAGACTTGAACATGGTTGCTAAGGAGTTTGTTCTCGCAGTTCACAGTTCCCTTGGGATTCCCGTGCATCCCTCAACCCCATTAAAGTTCTAAACCCCTTAATAAAACATCAAAACCAAGCTCAAGGACTGTTCACTGACTCCAACGTGCAGGTGTGGAAGAAAATGTGTGTTGTCTGGCCGTGCTGAGCTTTAGGGGGACCCAAAACGTAGCGACCCCTAAGGGGGTAGTGTTACACGTGGGGGCTCGTAATTCCGGGATGTCCCTATAGCAATGTGAACCTGTTGCCCCTAGCACCCAGCAATCATCGATCCAGGAAATCGTGCCTGCTGCTGTAAAGTATCATGGAGCCAAGCAGGAAAGTGGGGGTGTGCTGCACTGCTGGAATTGTGACTGTTGCTGTGATTAAAGTCTCATTGCTAATACTGTTGCCCTCAACAACCATGTTGGACCCATCCAAAAGTCTTCCTGCTGCTCTACAGGTAGCTGGTGTGAGAGACTATGTTCATGATCTATCTGCTAAAGACAGTAAAATGTCCGCTGTTATCCTGTTTGCCATTGCCCCGAGCATCTGGAGTGGTCCATCAGTATGTGAAAGTATTGTTCTGCTCTACATGTGGCTACCTCAAAAGACTATGTTCATTATGTGCCTGCTTACAACAGTAGAGCTTGTGTCTGTACTACTGCTTTGCTCACCGTCGCCGATAGCAACCATGGCGAGCTACAGTGTTCCTTTGGATTACAAATGTTCTGGCTCCCCCACCACCGACTGAGGCCTATGTTCTACTATTGCTGAAGCCCGCTGAAGTCAGTGCTTGCTTGTCGTTGTCCAGAGCAACCGGAACAGCCTGCTACCCAGTGAATTACAAATGTCCAGTTGCCCCAAAGTAGCTGGAATCAGTGACTCTGTGATCTTGTGGTTTATTGTTTCTAGTGGGGAGTGTATCCCGTATCTCGCTGTTGCCCATAGCAACCATTGCGGACCATTATTACCTGTGCAACTACTCATCCACCCATCAATGGCTGGAACCAAGTGTTCTACAATCATCAGTGAACTGTCTTTGTGTTACTGCCCGGGCTCAGTGCCTTACAAGCCTGCAAACCCATCAGTGCACTCCCGCTTGATGAAGCACGGGTTATCATAAACGCAGGAAAAACCCTGCATGACTGTCTCGCTGGTGCCAACATATCCGAAGGACACAAGCAATGCCGCAAGTTTAGATAGGGGGAGCTAGTAAGCTATTTAGCTAGTTAGTTGCCATAAGCAATGCCACAAGTTTAGCTAGTTAGTTTTGTTTTGGGCAGAGGATGAGTAGCAGCCTGGGGTGAGTCAGCCAGGTTACTCTAGGTTCGGGCTGAGAGCTCTGCGGGCCATTTCCGTGATACCTCCCCTTGCTCTAGAAGCTTTAGAAGTTTCTGGAAGACAGTGGGTGGGGGTGAAGAGGGGCTGATCTGCATGCTCAAGGGACTCTGACCAATACCCAAGCAGGAAGCTTGGCATGGGGGGGTCAGGGCGGCCCTTAACCCTTTCACTGCCAGAGCCATTTTCGTGCATTTTTGCACACATGTTTATAAAATCATTTTCTCCCTGGAGATTACACAAAATCCCCAAACATGATATATTTTCTGAAAGCAGACACCCTAGAGAATAAAATAGTGGTAGTTCTAATTTTGCATGTTGCATGATATTATTGCAAAGGTTTAGCAAATGTAAAGTTTCAGTAAATATCTGTTTCTGAATTTTACGGCAAACAAACACAAAAAATTAGCCACATTTTTGGTAAAATATAAAAGATGAGGTTGCGCCGAGTAAATAGATACAAACCTTAAATTTGTGTGCGCCTATGAAATGGCGTCAAATTTCTGTACCCTATAATTTCTATAGAAGATGCTTCCAGAGCCCGTACAGGTCATCAATTTTGTGTTACAGAGGAGCTCTGGGGCTAGAATTATTGCTCTCACTCCGGCATCTGAGGTGATATGTAACATGTGTATTGACATTTTCACGTGTGTGTTTATGTTTGTATGTGTAAATGTGGGGGGTGGGGAGGCTTAAAAAAATTTTTTGGGGGAGATGTTATGTGCTTGAGTGTAGCTTTATTTTTTACAAAAAAAAATGTTTTACTTAACTTTTTTTTTCATCACATAGGAGACACAAAATCCCCTATGTGATGTTTTTTTTTTCGTGACAGGTTCTCTTTATTAAGAAATGCAGGGTCCAAAAGACCGCCAATGTCTTCTCTGTGATCCATTAAATGTATTGCAATGCAAACCGCATTGCAATACATCTTTCCCGTTTATTTTAGCCCGGAAAGTGACAGCCGTGACCCAGAAGTGACATCATGGACGTCGCCTTCCAGGTCACACAAAGAAGGGAAGGGGAGCTCATCCATGCTCATCCACGCTCATCCACGCTTCAGTTGGTGCAATCATTCACAAATGGCAGAAACACAAAACAACTGTCCGTCTCCCTAAGTCTGGTGCATCATGCAAGATCTCACCTCAAATACTTATTTCCCTCATGGACATGCAGATCAGTGCATCATTTGTTAGACATGCATTTCTGCTGAATGTTTTGTTGCTATTCTGTCTCTCAGTGTTACAAGGCACCGAACATTCGATTTTTAGACTGATTATTTCTTTGTGAGCAGGCAAACATTCAAAATCAGCATGGGAGCAAATATATGTTTCCTTCATATATTGATCATTTTTTAAAATTTTATTTCAATTTGTTAACATTTGTGTGTGAGTATAGATCTATGTTTGTCCCAAGCATGTTTGAGTCCACCTACTGTTGACTGGCTCCCTACCTCTGTAGAAGTCTATTCCTAGCATCAGCTACTCCTTCCTTCAAAAAATACTATCTAAGATTAGTTTTGAATTTTCCTCCTGCTAGTTTGAGGTCATATCCATATGTTCTTGGTCTTGGCTTCATATTGAAAATCCTGCCCTCCTGAGCCTTATTCGCCTTCTTAATATATTTTGTGTAATGGTTTCAGTCCTGCCTCGCTTTTCCCTTCTTTCCTCCATGTATCGACTTGCATTTGGCAAAAGCATTCAGCCAGTCACATAGGCAGAAATTGAGAAAATTTCTGTACACCAATAGAGCTTTGGCTGTACTTCTCCTTTAACCACCTCCCCTATGGCCATTGTATATAAACGGCCGGACGGTGGCAGTGCAGGGGCAGGTGGCCGTTTATAAACGGCCTTCCCGCCCCCTGCTTGTGCATGCCCCTGCTTGTGCACGCTCCCTGGGAGCGTGCACAAGCACGAGGTCCCGATCATGTGATCACTGATTGGCCAATCGGTGATCGAATGCAGAGCAGTAAGCAAGATATCACTTCTGGCATCATTGCTTACTACGTGTGAAATGAGTGAATGATCACAGAGGTCACATGGTACAAGGCTAGTCACAACAGCCTTGTACCATGTGACAAGCTGTGACCAATCACAGCTCACCCAGTAGTTCTCAATGGCTGCAAGAATGCAGCCAGAGAGAAGGAGAAATTATTGCATTTACAGCCTTTATGGGTATAAAAGCAATCAGTGTAAAAAAAACAAACAAACTTCATCACCCCCCACAAGTAGTACAGTGTCACCATGGTGACACTGTACTGCTAGGGTGACAGTATATTTATAAAAAAAAAAAACAATAATAATAATATAAAAAAATTAAATAAAAATGTAAAACAAAGTTTAAAAATTATAATTTTTGATTAAAAACTAATTTGGGTTATTTATATTTTTACTAAAAAGATAAAGGAATACATTTTGTCCAATATTTATGATGAAAGATTTTATAAGAAAAACACTTTTTTTCAAAATGTTTGGACTTTTTCATTTAAATAGCAAAAAAAATTAAAATCCCAGTGGTGAATAAGTACCACCAAAATAAAGTTACCAAAATTCATATGGGTACAGTGTTGCATGACCGCGCAATTGTCATTCAAAGTGTGATAGCGCTGAAAGCTGACAATTGGCCTGGACAGGAAGGGGGTGAAAGTGTCCAGACATGAAGTGATTAAACACCTTTATATTCAAAGCTGGGGATATGTGTCACGGCCCACGGTCACCGCCACCAACAGGTGACAATCGCATAGCCGCGACTAACAGTAATACGTCACGCCCACGGCGTCAGACCCCAGACCTTCTCACCAAACTCGTGACTGAAGGGCCGGCCCATCCAAAACCGTGGTGTGACGCGCGTAACAAGGCCCCACCCAGCTGCACCCTACACAGCGATTACCCAGCTAATGGTCTACAGTCTGTGCCTGCAGCCTGAATGCGCTTGTTACTGGGTCGGGTTAATTACGCAACTAACCCTCTACTGCCACCACCACTTTTGTCGGAGACTGGGAAACTCCCGTTATCAAATATACACTATAATGATTGAAATATTGATCTATATAGCACGACCCGCGGACCTGCTATACAGAGATATAACAAACAGTAGCGTCTCTTCAAAGGCAGGGATTCGTGAATTGCAAGTAAGAGCTTAGAAACAGTTTAACACTTTCAGAAAGAAAGATTTATTTCTAACAGGGTCAAAACAGGTGCGATAAAATATTTATAAAGAGATGTCACAAAAATATATATATATGTATATAAAGACACAGCAAAGAGATAATTAGGAAGAAGATTACAGGGTTAAGTTACTTGCCATATGCCTGGGTTTGCAAATCCAAGATGCAGAGCAGAAAGGTTCTTTGATCTCCTCTGTTACGATGTTACCTCGGAGATCTCTGAGTGTGTGTGACAAGCTCTAACTCTCTTGAAAGTCCCTCTCAAGGGGAGGGGGGGGGGCTCTGACTACACGTTTTGGGAGTGGTCATTGGGGAACTCTAAACTACCAGCTTCATATCCCATGATATGAACCATACAGTTGACCTGAGGAATGTGCATTTACTCTGGTCAGTTTGATAATATGTGGACTTACACCGTTTTGGGTGACAAAAGTTACACTTTAGTAGACGGCCTGTCTCCACTCTCATGTCTTCCTGGTTGTTCCACGCCATCTGCCAGGAGATAACGTTTGCCTCTCAGGAAGGGAGGAGGGTAGGAATGAGCCTGAGGAATGCCTCAAATAAACGGACAGAAACGAAAAAGAGAGTGGAAAAGGGGGACTCCACTCCAACAAGGATGAGCAAGTTTGCCACAATATGCATTGTCCCTCATTAGGCCCATTGCAATCTTGGTAATGGAATCCCAGAGCCTTCCCTTTGCCATTTGAGAACGATAGTTCGGGAATGGCAGTCATCTTTATCTGTCATGATCTCAGTACAAGTTCTTTAATGTCAGGTTGTACAAACTCTTCTCTTCATGTCTTCACAGCTGTGATGTTTCAGATGAGTACTGGTACACAGGAAGCCATTGTGAGACAGCAGTCAGCAAGCCTGGCGTCATTGGAGGAGTGACTGTTGGCCTGATCGTTCTGGTTATCATAATCATTATTGTGGTCATTGCTTTGTGCCGGCGTCGGCGTCGTGTTGCAGACGGTGAGATGTAAGTACCAGCAAAAAGATTGCTTGATATTTGCTCAGAAATACAGTATATGGCCAAACGTTTGCGAACACATCTATGTGAGTTTGTTGGAAATCTGATTCTAAAACCATGGCCATTTACTATAGTGTTGCCCCACTTTGTGGCTATGACAACCTCCACTCTTTTTGGAAGGCTTTCCACAAGATTTTGGAGTGGTCGTGGAAATGTGTGCTTATTCAGACCAAAAGAGCATTTGTGAGGTCAGGTACTGATATTGAACAGGAAGACCTACCAGTTGGTATTCCAATTCATCCCAAAGGCATTCAGTAAGGTTGAGGTCAGGGCTCTGCACAGGTCATTTGAGTTCCTATACACCAAGCTTATCAAACAATGGCATGTTGCAGCTGGTTTTGTATACTGGGGTACAGTCATGCTGGAATAGAAAAGGGCCTTCCACGTGGTGTTTTCACAAGGTTGCAAGTGCCCAATGGCCTAAAATGTCTTTGTATGCTGTACCATCACCAGTACCCTTTACTGGCAATGTCTGAACACAATCCTTTGACTATAAAATAGACTTGAACGGCAGGTATCCATAAATTTTGGCAAAATACTGTAGTACAGTATAACAAACAAATGGGTGCCATGGCCTTTATGTAGAAGGACTAGAGGAGCAATGAGTATTTTGGACCACCTTGGTCTATTTTGGACCACCTTACAAAACCTGTCTGGAAAAGCGGTGCCATTACTACTTTGTGGAAGCCACGAGGCTCAAAAAATGAACCTTTGCAGGACATTGATCTTTTTTTTTCTGCCTCGTGACAATTTTATTTTCAAAATCTCATTGGACTGAGGTGAAAATAATTGTAATTTTTACAAAAATAAATAAGGATACTTATTAGGGATAAAATTGGGGTTTGTCAATACCATGGATTTGAAGAGAATTCTCAGGGTTCGAAGTGTATTACCACTGTTAAATGCAACAGCTTAATTCTCAGGCTGGTTGTTTGGAAGACAGCAGCCATTGGAGTCTTAACAACCAGTTACTATATCCTCACCTGGTCTTTTCAGCTATGACAGGTGAATATAGACAAAGACTCGGTGATGGTGAAAAAAAAAAAAAATGGAACCCCCTCAAATTTTATACCAGACCCATCAATCATGTGGTCCAGGGATGCAAATCCTCATCAATCACAATGAATGACACCCAATGATAGAAAAATATGCCATGTCCGGTTCCAATTAGTTTATTATGACTGGTAGCTAAATGTAAACAAAGGGACAGGGTCTCTTAGGTGACATCATTGACCAGATATAAACATGACCACATTCGGTCAATGATGTCACGGGATCCCAAGTGATGTAATTGACCAAACATGGTTGTTTCGGTATTTGGTCAATGACATCACCTGGTGTAATCCTTCCCTTTGTTTACATTTTACTGTCAACTGGGGAGCTACCATTTGCAACAAGTGAGCAACAGGATCAGACATGTTTTCAGACTTTTTTCTGGGGGGAGGGGCTTTGTTCATTGTGATTCATGGGGAGCTATATTGACTATGGATTGACATCATGAGACTTTTTGTGTTAAAGGACTTAAAAATTGTGGTGTCTTTATTTACTGTTTGCTCTTTTGGTGAAAGAGTAGGTGCACAATGTAGCACTTACTCATTCACATTTGCTTTGGCTCATGTCCCCACGTCAGTGCTCACAAAATCCCCCTCATGTCATTTGTTTCACATTCACTTGCCTGTTAGCCCAGAAAATGGCCATTGCTGATTCTAATATTGTGTTCCTATTGACTTCAGTTCAGCATCTGAACTTCACCTAAATCCGCATGAACCAAAATCAGGTGCATTCGGCTAATGACTACTCAACAGTTGTGAGGAACCTAAAACAGGTGCTGGTTTTGTGTTGTCCCAATTACCTTTAGGTCATTTATCCAACTAGTGGGACAATTTCTAACCCATTGGTATGTCCTTATTGTGTGTATACACTGTTTTGTCAAAAAAGCCCAGTCCTTGTAGACTAAAAACAATGTCAACTAATGCCCTTTGCCTGTCTGAATATTTTTTGTTTTCATTGTGTATAACTGGGCTGACTGATTTCTGAACAAAATTGACCTAGTGTGTTTGCTTGTGTATATGTGATGGGATTCTGAGTGTATACTATACAAAAACATGTATTAATTAAATTGTATTTTTTATTTACCCTCTCTCACATGCTGTTCTTTTCTTCCTTTCCACTTCCTTCCCTTCTCTCCTCTCTTTACCTCTTGCCCCCTTCTTTTCCCTCTCTTCTTTTTTTTCTTTCCCTTCCTTCCCCCTCCTCTCCCTTCAATGCTTCTCATTCTTTCCCCTGTTTTTCTCTCTTCCTCTTCCTTCTCCTCTCCACTTTTCTTCTTCTCTTCCCCTACTTTTCTCTCTTTCCTCTTCCCTCATCTTCCTCTTCTTTCTCCCCCTGCTTCCTCTTCGATACCTTCTTACCCCTCTACCTTCCTTTCTCGCTTCTCCTTCATTCCTCTCTCTTGTCTCCCCTGTCTCCTTTCCTGTAATATATTTCCCTCTCTCCTCTCTTTTAATTTGCCCTCCCCTTCTCTTTTATTTTGCTCTTGCTCCCCCATCTTCACTTCTCCCTTACCTTCCCTCCTCTTGCCTCCTTTGCTCACTGCTCCCCTTCTCACCTCCTTTTTTCCCTTCTCTTCTTAATTTCCCTTCTTTCTCCTTCTCTCTTTCTTCTCTCTGGTCATCCTCTTCCCTTCCCTTCCCTCTCTTCTCCCCTCCCCTCTTCTCTTCTCTTCTCTTCCCTTCCCTTCCCTCTCCCCCTCCCTTTCTCTTTTCTCTTCTCTTCTCCTCTCTTCCCTTCTCTTCTCTTCTCTTCCCTTCTCTTCTTCTCTCTTCTCTCTCTTCCCCTCTCTTCT